TACCTTAATTGGTAGTCGAGAGCCGGCCACTTTTAGATCTGTTTCCTTCCGATATTTAATGGCCATAACAACGTAATCCCCTGAGCTATCCGAATCCCACGATCGTTGTTTCTTGACCGGTTGTTTCTTGACCGGCGTATTAACCCAGCCGACGGAGTTCTCGTGCTGGGAATATGTATCCTCCGCGTCGTCTACTTCAGTAGTTTCCATATCTTCCTGATTTTGAATCAGTCCCACTGCCGGTCTTCCCCGATTATTTCGCTTTCCCCTGCAAGTCTTCTCGTAATGTCCCGTCTTCCTGCAGAAGTTACACGTAGCATTTTTCGCTGGACACGTTGTGATGTGCTCCGGAGTAAAATTGGGTTGGTCACAGTTATAGCATCTTCTGGAACCACCCCCTCTCATGTCTGCTCTCCCCCTAAACGATCCGCGGCCCCGCTGTCTGTTGTTTCTGTAACCACCTCGGATGGCCCCCACTGGTTCCGTCTTGATTTGGAACGCACCAGCTCCGCCGGCATTTCCACTAGTTCCTCCCCCGGTTATCGATCCGTATGACTTAGCATATTTGAATCCACGTTCATATGAAAGTGCAATACGATACACCTCCTCTGGTGTCTTCGTCGAGCGGCATAGCTCATTTTGGGCCTCCCTATTGTTCATATTTACGATGAACACATCCCGCAAGATCCTGGTCTCCAATGCTCCAAAATTACATCGAGCGGCTAGCCCACTCAACACTGAGTGGAACTGTTCCAGCGATTCTCCTATTTGTTGCTTCCGTGCCAATAGTTGGAATGTTTCGTAGGTTTCGTTTCGTTCCTTCCGAAATTCGGTTTCGATAGTATCCAAAACTCGAGAATACCTTGTTGCAGCTAGATCCAGGTGTGGTTTTCTTTTATGTAGCTCATCCTGTCCTTTTTCTCCCAGGCACAAATACAAATTTGAGATAAGCGTTTGCTCCGACGCCAGGCGATTTTTCCCATCGACTTCCTCTGGTAGATCTACAATTTGCGCTGCTGTTAACGTACTGGCATAATAGAAGTTCCGTGGATTTATGCTATGTTTGGCCACCATCCCCCATATAAAACGATTGAACCAGAACTCCCATAGCATTGGTGGTTCTGCGAGCGTCGAGGGCCAAAACGATGTAATTCCCAGTGGGTTCTTCCCCCCACTTTGGCCTGTTGGCTGCGCCATGTGAAAAGACGGTTTGGATGTATGAATTAAATGTCTTGTTAATAAGCAAACCGTAGTTCAGAAAGTAAGTCGGAGACAATAAGATAGCTGTCATCCGAAGGTGACAGACAAACTCCGAAGGTTAAATACCGGTTAGCGCCAGACAGATAATTGAAATAGATAACACGACTAGAATTGAAACATGAACTAAATTTAGATACTATGACAGCCTAATTAGCTGGCATGCCATTTCTGATAAAAATTGGACAATGTGAACAAAAAAATTGCTTATACATACTGAGAGTGAGGGGTAGGTAGGAGAGAGAGGTAAAAAAGATGATCAATAGGTAAGTTTTTACTCCGTTGGGAATTCAAAAAACGAAATTCTTCCTCCAAAAGAAATTGACTGACTTTTAAAAAATTCACAAGTGAAACTACGAAAACTCAAAACTGAACGTGAACAATTTTATGAACTTATCCTGAAAAAAACAACGAAAAAATCATTGCGATCTTTCTAGTGAAAATTTGCGCTCTTAAAGTTAACAATAACAAGACACTGAGACAAAATAATGGAGAGAAAATGTTTCGGGAAATTTTTTTGTGTCTGTACGTTCCTGGATTCCAGAGACAAGTCTTTAAATATGTTCCAAAATATAAGTGGACTCCACTAACAAATTTCAGTGGATTCCGCATACAAATATCTGTGACGTAAATCTTGTCGGCACATTTGCCTTGTTGCGGTTTATTATAGCTTGTTGTACTGGATTCGGCAACTGTAAGTGGATTCCGCAAAATGTAAGTAGAATCCGCAAAATGTAAGTGGAATCCGCAGGTGAAAACAAAATGCGGGTTCCACTTACAACTTGCGGATTCCACAACAGCTCAATGTAACTATACACATGTATTATTATTTTTTTGTGGATTTCATAGACTGTTTTCGATTCCGCAAATACAGTTGCGGATTCCGCAAATTCGCCTGTTTTTGGAGCAATTTCGAGCGGTATTATGTTATAGGTGTTTGTTTGTGGAATCCAAAACAGCAACGAAGATCAAAGAAAAGTAGAAATGTTGCGGATTCCGCGGCAAATCTGATTTTGGCCTTTTGTGGAATCCGTTAACAATGCGCAGAATGCACCGTTTGGCCTCGTAACGTGGGGAAATAATGTGTTCGAAGTAGCATAGTGACCCCATCTTCATCTGTGCCGTGTGCCAGATGAGACAGACTCCCTCGAGAGCAGACACTGAGATGGCGAGATTGGACACCGACTCATTGGAAGAGTGGCTCTGAGCCTCCAGCACTGCCGCTATGTGGGTCAGCACTGTCGCCACACCTAGGCCAATCACGCTATTATATCGAGCAACTTACAAAGCCTTTTAGGAAAACTATCAAACTATTAGGATCTTGACCCTACATTCTATAATAAAACTACAATATAACGCGCTTTGAGACATTTCTATCACGTCCATGTTTATATCAAGTCCATCCATTACGGGGTTGACGAGAATGGGAAATCATACGTCTCACGTCGGTTTGAATTTTTATAAAAATATCTTTGTATTTTCAAGCTAAAATAACAGACTTTCTCTAAATAACAGACATACGAATGAGCATTTTTTAATTATTTTTGCAACTTTCGAAGAAAGTGACGAATTATTTGTGCTCGGGGTGTTTTTGCTCCACACAATTTTTTTCGATTTTTAACTGCTATTTATGACGAGATGTTTTTTATCATTCGAAAGGTTTTGTTGTCTTGAGCTCAAATTTGAAAAGATACTTCGCCTGTGATTATTTTCCAACAGTGTTAAAGCAAAAGTAGCCCACAGCTTCTTTAATGTTTGATGTTAATTCCTTAGTTGTTTTATGCTAGTTTGATCACAAAAAAACTAATTTAAGCGCTTTTCAAAAAATTTGTATGTGTGATGTATGATCATCATTTTCCGTACAAATTATTGGCGGATGCATATGGTCGCGGCTTATCTTCTATCTTGGGCAGACCGGGTTTGCTTATCAAGACCTTATTGAACACATGAAAATACTGAGAGGCGAGACTGAACTTCGCACCATTTGCTAAACTTACTCTACAAGACAAAATTGAAAAAGGAACTAGAAAAACAAAAACTTTAAAAAGAACAAAAGAACATTCATGATTAACATTTTTAACGTTTTTTTTCTAGGAGGTTCTTGTGGGGTTGATTTTGAGCGTTTGGAAAATAGAGCCATCGGCCTTATTTTTAGGAAACAAAATATTAGTTAGAATAAATGACCAAATTAAAGCCGACTGCCAATATGCTGAAAATCATCACTGCCCGCGAGTTGCACTGCCCAGGCAGTGTCCACGAGTGTTAATGAATGTAAGGTGGTATACCCATCTGGGAAACGAAACCGATAGAGTTCAAGTCGACAACTCTGAAGCAGAAAACTTGCGATAGAACACAAACATAGCTAAAAAAACTAGAAGTTAGAAAATTAAATGAAAGCCGGTCCGACGACAAAAAAAAGAATTTTGATAGTACCGAGAATTGGTAGATCTACGATCATTCTCATGTATCAGTCTGTAATAAAAACACTTTTTTTCAAGAGTCACTTCTTTATTATTAAACTCAATGAGCTTAAAGCCAATTTGAAGAACTCAATTGTGAAGCATCTTAGGGTGGGTATTCTTTCCTAGGGAATGTTATAAAACAATAATTTTATGTTTTGTTATACCATCTTATGAACTTTCCATTTTAAAAACGATTGCTTTTACCTTCGTTCTGCACTCGAAACTATTTCGCACACAAATTGAGTTTCTCAAAAGTCTGAGTCACAGTTTCAATCAGTAATGTTGAGGTCAGACCGTCTCAAGTCAGACAGAATAATTGAATCGTAGTCAAAAGTGATTAAACTCAGACAAGGTCAACTAGTGATCTCAAACTAATTAATTAGTCAGCAATTAACCAACTGGTACTTTTTTGATGCTTAGTTTGTCATGTCGTTTATATTCACTTCTTTCAATTCATTCTTCAACAATCACTACCTCTTCTCAATCCTCTGTTGAAACCTCGTATTCTATCTCAGTCTCTAACCCCAGCTCTTAATCCTAGTTGCTCTAACTCTGAATCTTAACAGGTTATGGGCCCAGATTTCTAATTTTTTTCTTGTATTGTTTTTCTGTCAGAGTTTTTAAGTTTTAGCTAGCAGTCTTAAGCAACGATGGACTTGAAACTGGCGGCTTTTAGTGGAAAGTCTGAAGATTTTCCTGCTTGGTCGACGAAGTTTGTGGCGCTGATGCACATCAAGGGGCCTGTTCAGAACAGTGATGGGCAATGATGATCTGCCAGAGGCTGAGCCTACTCTCCCGGAGAGTCCGCATGCTGATCAGCAGGCAGCCTACGATAACAAGATGCAGGAGTGAGCAGTGTTGATCCAGCAGAGGAAAAACAATCGAAACACTATGTAGTCCCACCTTGCTCTGGTTCTCAACGACACCATTTTAATGTTCACAAAGAATGACTGCGTGGGAAAATATGGCTATGGCAATGGGACGAAGGCTTGGAAGCTGCTTCAAGAGAAGTTTTGCAGTGTAGAGAGGCTGACGGTGGTCAGTCTAGTAGGTCAGCTTGTGAAGTTGCGCCTAGGATCAGAGGAGGATCTGGACGACTACTTCGTTCGCAGTCAAGAGCTGATGACGCTGTTGAGCGAAGCTGGAGAAACAATCACGGACACACTGTTCAATGATTTGGTGATCAATGGGCTGCCTGACAGCTATGGGCATTTTTGGTGCAAGAGAGCTTTCAACCAGCCAAGGCGTTTCCAGAGCTGAGAATGAGGCTGAGGAACTACAATGACTCGAGGAAGGCTCAATGTTGGCAGAGGACTGGACAATTGTCATATAGCCATGCAAGCTGTGAGCAAGAAGAAAGGAGTGTCAAGTAGTGGCTGCTATGTGTACGGTCAGAGGGGTCATATGGCGAGGAAATGTAAATCTAAAAGTGACAGCGGACAATCCAGTGCTCGAGGCAGTTGGGCGAACAAAGCAAGTGGGCCAGGAGCAAAAAATCAAGGGTGCTTCAAGTGTGGACAACCTGGACATTTTGCAAGGAAGAGCCAGCAGGGGAGGACAGTGTTCTTCAGTTGTTGTGCTGCAAATTCAATGAAGGGAGACGACCTCATTGTGGATACAGGATGCACTGATCATTTGGTGCAAGAGAGGGCTGACTTTTCTAGCTTTGAGAGCTGGAATTAAGGGAAAACTGTGGAGAACCCCAACGGCACGCTGTCAAGGGTTGAGGGCAAAGAATTAGTGGAAGTATAGATCAAGGACTGCCATGATGCTGTGAGGAGCTACACTTTTCACAATGTGCTGTTTGTGCCAAGCTACAGTGTGAACTTGATGAATGTGAGCTCAGCTGTCGCTAGAGGCTCAAGCTTCAGTTTCGCCGCGGATGCGTCACATCTTTTGGCACTAGATGGGGGACAGCTACCTGTGACGCAGCGCCGCAAGCTTTTCTTCCTTGAGTGCAAGTTCAAGAGAAACCCGATGACTCTAGTGACGAAAACAAGGAGGGATACCAGTGATGCAATGTTGTGGCACCGACGACTGGGGCACCTCAACCAGCAGGATATTTCATCGCTTGTCAATGTGGGCGAGCTAAAGTTCTGCGAAGTGTGTACAGCTTCTAAGATGCATGAAGTAACAGTGCCTAAGAAGACTGACAGCAGAGCATTGGCAGTGGGGCAACGGGTCTTCAGTGACATTCAGGCTGGCTGTGGTCAAGTATCTGGTGAAGAAGAGTGATGCTCTACTGAAGTTCCAGGAGTTTGTGGCTGAGCATGGTGAACCGAAGAGCCTGCAAACTGACAATGGAAGTGAGTATTCGTCAAATGCATTTGTAGAATACAAGAGATTTTGTAGAGAAATCCAGGTGAAGCAAGATTTCACTGGGCCAATACTCCCCAACAGACTGGTGTAGCAGAGCGCTACAACAGCGTGATCACCGAGATGATTCGATGTCTACTGGCCGAAGCAAAGCTACCGGAGATGTTCTGTGTGCGAGCAATGTCGACAGTTGTGAGGGTTCGCAACTTGTGTCCCACATGCAGCAACGAGAAGCGCCTTTCGCCGACAGAGATCCACTATGGGAAACCATAAAAAGTGAGAAATTTGCCTGTGTTCGATTGCCTGGCGTACTATCTGGATCGAAGCAACAAACGGAAACTGGATCGAAAGGGCAAGAAAAGCAAGCTCATCAGCTACGACAAGGAGAGCAAAGCCTACCTGCTGATGGATCTAGAGACAAGACGAGTGGTGCGAGCAAGAAACGTGACATTCAATTAGATTGTCATTCCATATGACTTCATGGTTGACAGTGAGCCATTACAAACCCTGAAGCTATCAATCGAGGGGAGCATTGATATTGAGCAACCAAGCACAAAGAAAACCAGCGAAGCACGAATTGCGCCAACTGCAGGTGATACTACAGATTCAGTGGGGGATACTGAGGAAAATCAGGTCAAGGAGGAAGCAGTAGGTTCACATTCTACTGATCATCCAGTGCATAGGTCTGTTAGGACAAGAAAACCACCCATTCGATAGGGACTGGCCTATACCCATGCTTCAGTGACTGGAATTCAAGAGCCAAGGGGATATTCAGAAGGAGTGTCTGGATCCGAAATGGAGCAGTGGTTGGCAGCTATGGCCAAAAAGGTGAAGTATCTAGAAGCCATGGGAACATGGACACTTCTTGATAGACCACAATCTCGAAAAGTTATTCCTGGACGATGGGTTCTTGCTGTAAAGAGCGATGCAATGGGAAAAGTGGAGTAGTTCAAAGCCCTATATGTAGTGAAAAGGTTCATGCAAGTGGAAGGACCTGACTTCAATGACATGTTTGCTCCAACCTGTAAACCCGAAACAAGGAGGATACTGCAGGCTCTGGGGGCACAAGATGATCAACCTTCCTCAACTCTCCTCTAGCAGAGACAGTGTACATCGAGCAGCCAGAGGGGTTCAGCAAAGGTGACAGCCAAGTGTACAACGAAGTCTCTATGGGCTGCGGCAGGCAAAAAAAGACTGGTATCAGACGCTGAGCACTTTCCTACTTGATGAAGGGTTCACTAGAAGCAGCAACGACTTTTGTTTGTCCACGATGAGGGGAACAAACGATGCAATGATTTATGTGCTGGTTTGGGTAGATGACATCATCTTTGGCTGCAGATGTCAAGACGAAGTTGACAAGCTGAGGAGCTGCTTCTCGCAACAAAACAAGATGGATGACAGAAACCGATTGCTCTGGTTCCTGGGAATGCAGGTCAAGCAGTCGCCTGGGACGGTAACAGTGAATCAATCTCGTTACATCGACGACTGCTTGAAGCGTTTTGGCCTTGCTGAATGCAAACCAGTGGGCATACCAGCGGACATCAGCGCACAACTGCCGAAGACGGTCTGCCCTGAAGCTTGGTCAGCAGAGGCAGTATTCATGAAGGCTGGGGACTACAGAGATATTGTGGGCTCATTATTGTACATAGCTAAGCAAACAATATCTGATATCCTAGCTACTGAGGCGCAACTCTCTCGTTTCCCGGAGAATTCGGGAAGGGTCCACTGGGTGGTTGCAAAGAGGGTTCTTCGTTACCTGAACGGGAGCAAAGATCTGGAGCTGTGCTACACTAAGGATGCTGGTGGTGTAAAACTCTATGGATCCGCAGATGCTGACTGGGCTGGAGATTTGGATGATAGAAGGTCAACTACTGGCTACAGTTTTCATTTGCAGAAGGCAGGGGCAGCAATTAGTTGGAGCACCAAGAAGCTACCAAACGCAGCCATGTCTACCAGTGAGGCTGAGTACCAAGCAATGGCATCAGCATTTCAAGAGGCTCTATATCTTCGATCACTTCTCTCGATGAGATGGGCGTAGTTATTGACGGACCAATTGTCATCAAGGAGGACAACCAGAGCTGTATCAAGATGTGCAAGAATCCTGTGATGCAGTAGCGAACGGAACACATCGATGTGAAATACCACGTCATTCGAAAACTAGTGGAAGATGAGACAGTTGAATTCCAATATTGCCCAATTGAGTTCATGGAAGCTGACTTGTTGACAAAAGCCCTGAGCAAGGCTAAGGTGGAACAGCATCGTAGTACTTTGATGGGTTGCAGCCTGACATTGGACTAAGCCAATTCAACCTGAGTGGGGGCGTTGAGGTCAGACCATCTCAAGGTCAGACAGGTTGATTGAATCGTAGTCAAAACTGATTAAACTCAGACAAGATCAACTAGTGATCTCAAACTAATTAATTAGTCATTAACTAAATAATTGGTAATTTTGTGATGCTAAGTATGTCATGCCTTTTATATTCACTTTTTTCAATTCATTTTTCAACAATCACTGCCTCTTCTCAATCCTCAGTTCAAACTTCAGATTCTCTCTCAGTCTCTAACCCCAGCTCTTAATCCTAGTTGCTCTAACTCTGAATCTTAACAAATAAAAGGTTATATGCTCTTAGAAGTGCGTTCGTAAAAAGAAAAAAAGCAGTTCATGATTTTTCTCGATTTTCTTTTCATTAAATTCTCAAATTCAAGATAGACGAAAAATTTCCTTTTCTAAAAAAATCTTGTTGTTTTCTTACTAAATTGTTATCGGAAAAAGACCCATACTCAATTTTTCTGCAGACACTGATCTTCCAAAGTTAGTTTCTTCTCCTTGTGCTCATCGAAATCATCCAAAGTTGGAATAGATTGGTCGGAAAATGGCTCGTGGAAAAAGAAAGGGAATATTTTTAGCTGAAAATTATCCTCGTAGCAAATTTTCTTTGTTTTTCTAGCTTCTCGGATGAGCTAATTTCAATGAAAAGTTCGCTGGGATTTTTAGGCTGCTTGAAAGATACAGTTTTGGCTCTGTGTCATTATAGCCTGCAGCCAAACTGGGTCGAGGTGCTAACTTTAGGTTTCGAATATCAAAGTCGAGCGCATGTCGAAAAAGAATAGTCGAGACAGGGGTCTGGGTAGAGCACAATTTCGAAACAAACTTCGAGCACTGTCGAGCACGGTCCAACGAAAGATACCTCGAGCAGGGTCAAAAAATACCAATTGTTCCACTGTAGTTCGGAGACAAAATGAAAAACTTCTCTCCAATATAAACACACTTTATGAAGTGAAAAAAAAAACAGCTCAAAAATAGTTCATCTCCACAACGCATTTAATTTGCAAATTACTCTAATTGCAATATTTTGATAGAAAAAATTTCTGTGTAAATTTTAAATTTGGATGACTCATGTTGTTTGAAAATCGAAACAAACCCGAATTGGATCAATAACGGTCAAAACATATCGTGGTTGGCTTTTGTACGGTCGAGCACATCTGATGCGGTCGAGCACGGTCGAAACGCACCGAATATTGTTCCTTTTGGCCTACGCTCGAAACATAAAGTGAGCACGTCGACACGGGTTGCAATAAAAATTTGAACCACTCCCTCTCCCCCGCAGACTGGGACTTTTGAATCATAAGTGGGTCTAAGATTGAAAAGAGCAGGACTCTTCTTATGGTTTACCTGTGATGACGAGTATGGGGAGGAAGAAAAGGAATGTGTTGAGGTTGAAATACCACTCACTCGCCCTCCTGTACATGGTCTTCTTGGTGCGATACCTAAAAAACACCTTACGTTCCAAAGCAAGCAGAGTCGGCAAACACACAAGCAAACAGGTGCATATACAAAACAGTCCCATACAAGACAGTCCAAAATTCATGAAACGAACCAAAAAAAAACAGTCCGCTGTTGTTGATGTTGTTTGAGCAAAGGAAACTCTCGCTTACTGACTTTAAAAACAATTATCATTTGGGACTGTTTTTCGGACTGTTTTGTGCTGGACTTTTTTTCGTTCAATTTAAAAATGTCCTGACTGTTTTGTATTGGGTTGTTGTTTTGACTATTGAAAATGGGGAGAACTTTGTATTCGGGTGTGCTTTAGTTTTTTCTTTTTTTTCTTTTTGTTTTCCACGCAAAATCAGGTACCACAAATTATCATCGTAATGGGTTAGTGATATATCTTATTGCAACCATTTCAGTCGTGGTTCGAACCACATTTAAAAATTCCCATAAATTTATTCTAGTGTCGAGAAAAACCGGTTTTTTGATTTTTCGTCTAATTTCAGGCGTACATTAGCTTAATTATGCTTAATTTCAGCCTCGAATTTTTTTTTCAATTTAAGATAAGTTCTGGAGTTTTTGACGCCCTAGGCATCAAAAATATCGAAAAAATCAGAAACAAATTTAAAAAATAATCAAAAAAATTTGTTGAGAAACTTGAAGACTTCGCATTTTTTTAGTTTTTTGTTTTAGTACGTTTTTTTTTTCAAACACTGTCCTTCAATTTGCCTGTTTTACTAAAACGGTCACAAATGAGTGACTTCTAGTTTTTGTTCAGATCCTTTTATCACACCACGCAGAAAAACGACACTAATTTGAAAAAAAGTTTTTCGGATATTTAGAACTATGGTCGGAACATTCTGTGCTACTTGCACAGTAACCGGCTATCCTTGTCTTGTATAGGAGACTGTTTTGTTTGGACACGAGTCAAATCAGTCGGAAAACTGTCGATAAACTCAATGAGAACAAAAAAAATGACGAGGTTTAGTGAAGATTAATATATCACTTTAAAAGCTGTTTTAATTTTTACAGCTTTAAATTTAAAAATGATTGCTTTTTTTTGATAAAGCTATCTCAATTTGAGAAAAATGTTCCGCTGTGATATACAAAAAAAAATACACTTTTGAACCATTTAGGGATCTCTTAAACTAACCCCCCTCCCCTTTTTGCAAAAATGGGTAGATTCGTTACTAGGTACAAAGCTTACATATTCTTGGATTAGTTGTTTAAAGGGGGACTTGTGACTAGGAACCATAAAAAGGAATGCTGCTGGCTCTGATGCATTTAAAAGAAAGTAATTTGCCTTCCATTCAACAGATGAAATGGTGTGATTTTAAAATTGTTTATTAGACAAACCTCGGTAAAAACACTTTTTTAAACGTAAGCAACGTTTGTGATCTTCCCTCAAAACCAAACTAAAAACCACATGTTTTAAGTCAGTGTCTTGCTTTCGTTTTTTAAAATTATATATTAAAAAAGTTAAAACTTTTGACTTACAGAGTTTAAGTCCGGAGTGGCTCACTCAAAATCTTGTTTTCGGCCGGATAGATTCGTGCAAGTTCTTAGTCTAATACCAATCCTAATCTTACTCTTGTATATCCTAGTCTCAATAGATCTAGTGTATACTGGTATTTGCGAGGCTCGATATCAAAAACTGTTCTTCGGAGGAGCAACTGTTTGCTAAGTTAAATTCATTCTGTTCTGGCTGAAACTATATGTAGTTTCAGCCTTACAAATTATTGTAAGTGCTAGTTATGTATCATGATTGGTTAGTTCTAAGTATTTTGCAGTGATATTTTATCAAGATAATACTATTATAAAATAAATACTTGTTTTGAACTGAATCCACCCATCCGGGTTTTAGAAAATTTTAAAGTTTTAAGTTTTGTTCTTGTGAAGGATGAATGGAGGAGTTTTTGATTTTTTCGAGTAGATTATTTTGAAGCATGGGTTGCGTGAAGAGAGAGAAAGAAACAGTTGCTCGTGTTTTTGAGTAGTTGTTTTCGTAGAGAGAAGGAGTGCAGTTGCTCGTATTTCAGAAGTGGGTTTCGTGTATCTTGATTGAGCTGAGGGATTGGGTCTAGGTTGCAGAATTATCCCGCATGAGTATATCCAACCCGTTGAAGTTGCCCTTTTATTTTTTTTTCTGTTGAAAATATTCATAACTCTAAGTTCAATCACAATCTATATAACCTCATCCTAAAAATTTGGATGAGGTTATATAATTTGTAATTGAAGTTAAAAATTTGAATATTTTTAACAGGGCAATAAGAATAAAAGGGCAACTTCAACGGGTTGGATATACTCATGCGGGGTAAGGATGGGCGGGAGTCTTCATTTGGGGAGTTGTTGATGGGGAGCAAAAAGATGTACATTTGTCTCAGTAAGTACATTCGTACATTCGTAAGTTTTTATATTCGTCAGTGCATTTTCGATGATGTGATCGAATTTCTTTTTATTGCCATAGAGGTAAAAGATGTAATCAGACTTAGTGAAAAATTTCTCAGCTAACCGTACATTCATATTAGGGTCAGTATCATGCGGTGAGTCTTCCATATATTGGACAACCTGTGATCATAGTGATTAATGGAATATTGATTAGACTTTGGTGCAATGAAACGGTTAAGTGTCTGGTTTAAGCCTAAGTTTGTGAATTGATTTAGATGAAGTGCGTTAAATAATGGGTTAGTAATTGAATCGCAAATCTCACCGTCGTCTGTCTTCTTTCTTTGGGGTAACTTTACTCGGTTAATAAAAGTTATAATATGATATCCATGAAAGGGTTTGTAGGAGGAAATCTTCATTAACATATTGGGCTCGTTTGGCTTGATTTTTTCAGTTGTAGTAGGTGTACTGGGGGAAGAAGTGAAGGTTTTTTTCTAAAATTGCGGGTAAATGAGTATGGCGTAGATGATGGTATAGTAATCGAGATTAGAATGTGCGGCTAATGAGATATGTGGTATTTTATTTGGATGTTTGCGTTTCATAAAAAATCATTGTGCGCGTTTTGGGGCAATTTTGACAGATGGACTGGATGATTTGAAGGTTGAAGCGGGAAGGGTGAGTTGGTGAATAATTAATGAGTTAGTGGGGTTATGAATTTGTTGCTAGTGAATAACAAAATCGTTTAGATTAAGCTTAAGCTGGTCATCTGTGATGGGACTAGGTAAATCGGGTGCATTACTGGAAAGAGGAGAAAGGATAGGGGTAGCTTCAATGTGTGAGGAGGCGGAGGTAGATTTTTCAAAATGAGTTGGAGTCATAGGTTCA